CCACCATCGCGGCCGAGAAGGATGACTGCCCCGTCTGCGTCACCGTGGCCACGGCCATCTGCAGCGGGTACTGCCAGACCAAGGTGAGGGCGGGGCCGGGGCGGGCGGCGGCCCAGCGGGCAGGGACCCCGCACCCGGGGGTGGGCGGGCACCGGCGGGAGGGGGGCACAGGCCCCGGGGGGGTTGCCGCCTGCCCCCCTGCCCTACCCTTCTCTCCCCAGGAGCCGGTGTACAAGAGCGCCCTGGCGCCCGTCTCCCAACACGTCTGCAGCTACCGGGCCGTGCGCTACGAGACGCTGGCGCTGCCCGGCTGCCCGCCCGGCGTGGACCCGGCCTTCACCTTCCCGGTGGCACTGAGCTGCCACTGCAGCCTGTGCCCCATGGACTCCAGCGACTGCACCGTGCACAGCCTGGGGCCCGACTTCTGCAGCGCCCGGGGGGGCTTCGCCTAGGGGCGGGGGGCAATAAACGCCAAGGCCACGCCCTCGGCTCCGTGCGTGTGTGTGTGGGGTGGGGGGGGGGGCGCAGAGCAGGGCCTCGTTGTGACCACTGGCCCCCAGGGCCAGGCACAGAACCTGGGGGGCTCCGGGCTCCCAGCCCCTCCCCACAACCCACTAGACCTCAGCCCCCTCCCAGAGCCAGGCACAGAACCAAGGAATCTAGCCCCCAACCCCGCCCAGAGCCAAGCACAGAACCCAGGCGTCCGGGCTCCCAGCCGTCTCCCACCCCCCACACGAGACTCCCAGCCCCCTCCCAGAGCCAAGCACAGAACCCAGGCATCCGGGCTCCCAGCCGTCTCCCACACCCACACGAGACTCCTAGCCCCCTCCCAGAGCCAAGCACAGAATCCAGGCATCCGGGCTCCCAGCCGTCTCCCACCCCCACACAAGACTCCCAGCCCCCTCCCAGAGCCAAGCACAGAATCCAGGCATCCGGGCTCCGAGCCGTCTCCCACCCCCACACAAGACTCCCAGCCCCCTCCCAGAGCCAAGCACAGAATCCAGGCATCCGCG